TATATGTCAGCTCCAGATGTAAATACTATCATATATAGACCAGCTCCAGATGTAAATACTATCATATATAAAGACCAGCTCCAGATGTAAATACTATCATATATAGACCAGCTCCAGATGTAAATACTATCATAGATAAAGACCAGCTCCAGATGTAAATACTATCATATAAATAGACCAGCTCCAGATGTAAATACTATCATATATATAGACCAGCTCCAGATGTAAATACTATCATATATAAAGACCAGCCCCAGATGTAAATACTATCATATATAGACTAGCCCCAGATGTAAATACTATCATATATAAAGTCCAGGGCAACTCGTAAAGCTATGTTGTAATGAGGAACATTCTGGAACTTGAGTTTATGTAAAATTGTAGTGAAACAGAAAAGTAATCTCAATACAGTTAACCATGATAGTATTTACATCTGGAGCTGGTCCTGGTCTATATATATCTCCAGATGTAAATACTATCATATATAAAGACCAGCTCCAGATGTAAATACTATCATATATAAAGACTAGCTCTAGATGTAAATACTATCATATATAAAGTCCAGGGCAACTCGTAAAGCTATGTTGTAATGAGGAACATTCTGGAACTTGAGTTTATGTAAAATTGTAGTGAAACAGAAAAGTAATCTCAATACAGTTAACGGATTTTTAAAAAGGGGAAAGATACTTAAACATAAGAACAACAGTGGTAATATACATAATTATCTATAATATCGTGTGTGATCCAGACAATAGATCCCTTTTCAAAGTAGAATGAAGTACAAATAATGATAGTTCTGGAACGTATCGGTATAAACAAAACCCTCCACTTTGTCTTTTAATTCAACGTTCATGTTTATAGAGATATAAATATATGTTTGTTTGTTAGCACAAGTGGATATCTGTGCTGTTCTCACCACGTGTATGGAAAATCCGGGTTTTACTGTTAAAAGCCTACAGAATTACCGCTGAGCCACTGGAGGGCATATGAAGAACATCTATTATATGTGTGTGTGTGTGTGTGTGTGTGAATAAACGTCCTTTGCTGGACAGTTATTAACACCACCTGTTAATCTGTTGTTGTTTAATTTTACTGAATTTAGATTTTCTGTGAATGTGATAAAAACCTCAAACTAAAATGTTACCTTTATTTCAAGTTGCTAACTGTCAATTCTGATATGATTCGAGCCTTCTTCCTTCGACGATAAAGAAGGCCTTCGATTACCCCGTAGATATTAATGTTTCATCCCCGAAATTCCATATTCTGTAATCATAAGCTACCACATCATTAAAAGCAAGTGAACTGTGTGTAATATATGGCTATTTGAAAACTTAGATGAAATTTCACTTCAAAACAAAATAAATATTGATAGCAACTTACCAATTACTCGAAAGAAACGGCGAAGCGGGCTGGAGTGAATCTATCGTTGGAGCGAGCGTTTCGTTAAATTTCTAGTCAGGTCGGAGATGCTGGCTTTAATAAGGCTCATAACGTTCAGCGTAACAAGGTGAAGTTTCCAAACATCAATGAATGGGCGAGAGGTTTTGATCGGTTTCTCTTTGATGAAACGTCGCGTCAGTTGACGTCTTCTCCAAAGCACGGCGCAGGTGACGTCTGTGTTCCCATGGTAACTGTCATGCTTATTGATCCCACGGATACCCGTGACCAACAGTGCACGAGCTTCGGACTTGAGCATAGAAAACAGATCAACTCCTACTAGACATCATGCCTAGAACAAAGTTATACACTACGTAATGGCACGAGACTCAGATGAGAAGCACCGCTAGGTGGCTCTGCAATGAAAAACCTACGCTGTTATATAATTATTATTCCTTTCAATGCCTACGACCTTACTGAGAAACTAGACCATGAGTTCTATCGTAAAGTCTCCCTGAGTTCAAACATTCATTTAGAACAGTAGGAATTAATTTACAAGTTATAGCTTTACTGACGCAGGAGAGGAACACACATGAACACAGAATAGGTCAAGAATGAGAAATGAAAGATCAATAACGAATAGTAGCCATGATTCAATTCAGACTACAGACCAATTTCAACAGCTCCTAATTTCAAGATAAAACTTGGTATATGTGTCCAACTACTTAACCTTTTGTAGAGACAAGTCAGAAAGTAAATTACAGACGTGTTTCGAACTTTAAGTTTACCTAGTCTTCATTTTTCCTATAAAAAATTTCGGACTTATCTGTTGTGATATATAACAGTAAAATTCCAATAATTCGATTCAAAAGGCTTCAGATAATTTGTTCTGGGAAAATAAAGATATCTTTCTCCTCATTGCCTTTTATATCTCAGCTTTTATGGTATTCTAGATCGTTGTGTAAACAATCAATATAATGACGTATAAAAAAAGTTTATATGTTTCAGCGCCAAGTTACACAATATGGTATCTGCGTTCTGTCCACCGCAGGGATTCTTCCCCCCCCCCCATTTTAGTGTTGTAAATCTGTACACTTACTGCTGACAAGAAATAAGAGAAAGAGAAATGAACTCTACCCCTGAGTGTGTGTGTGTGTGTGTATCTGTCTTTGATTTTCGTCTAAAAATGCTTTTGTAACAAATATCATTTTTAATTCGTGGAGAATTTTTAAAAAGCGTTTTAATTTATCATTTGTTTGTCAGTTTGACTGTTTTTTTCTTTTGTTATTATTTATTTTAATTTTTACTCAAATTTGTAAACCTAATGAAATTTTTAATTTTTGTCTTTAAATGTTATCAGGGCTGCCATAAGTTTACGCATACAACGCTAAAATACAGGGTTCGAGATTGTAATACGTTCTTACACTATTGTAAAACACCTGAACTGCCAAACAATATTTTCAGAACATATATTTAATCTAAATGAATACTTTGAATTTACATAAGTCTTTATACATTGTTAAAGTACAATTGCTAAATATAATGATAATTAAACAAATAAAACACTAAACAG